TAAAGACTCAGCAGGTCCAGGAAGGCATGGGAACAATTGTAGTTTTTCAAAGACTCGTATGCATCTGATAAATGCCTTTGGTTGAGAAATTGTGGAGCATTTATAAGAGATGCCTGGGAATAGAATTTGCAAAATGGAGCCCATGGAAGAAACCTAAATGAGCCTTATTTGCTTAGCATAGTGTTAAAAAATATCTGAATGTGAATGCTTTGGTGGCAGTGCAATCTTTGATTTACCACAGTCCTCACTATTCCCTATGGCCTTATAACCAGGTACTTTGCTTTTTTCACTGCTTGTGACTCACGAGTACTTGTACATCTGTTAACTGCAACCTTCACATGGGCAAATTGGGAGGCAACCCACTTATTCCAATGGTGCTGCCCTAGCTCTGAGTGTTTCTGAGGCTCCTCTTCAGGTAGTGCCTTCAGAATAACTTTATACCACACACAAGAATATCAGTCTTCTCTCTCTCTAGCCATATTATGATTATTAAAAAAAAAAAAGAAGAAGATACCTCCCAAGGAGTAGAGGGTATTCTTGGAAAGGTTTGAAGTTTTACCGGAAATTGACATTTGCAATCTTTGAACTCACGGGTTTGAGCTAAAGACCCCAAGATTAGCTAGCTCTGTTTCCACAATGCAACAGAAGAAAGGCTTCTTCCCATTCATTCTCTTTCTAAGGGAAGAATGAATTCTCCAGAGGTTTGAGCTCCAACAGCTTAGGGCCGTCAGAGCTGCCATGAGTCTTTGTAAACCATGAGGAGCCCTGTGTCTAGTCTGGCACTGTCCAGTGGAAATACGATGTGAGCCACAAATGGAAGTCATATACGTGACTTTAAATTCTCTGGTGACCACATTCAAAACGGTATTTTAAAGGTGAAATTAATTTCATAACATTTTATTTAATCCAATGTATACAAAGTGTTGTAATCTTAACATTTAATCAATATAAAAAATTGTTGATATATCTAACATTTTTTTGGTCTTGTAAGTTTGAAATCTAGGGTATGCTTTATGCATAGAGCACACGTCAAGCTGGGCTAGCTTTTTTTCGAGTGCTGCGTATGATCAGTTGTTACCACAGATCAGGCCTCTTGTTGAGATGCCAACATAGGGTCTCAGAGCGTCAAAAGGCCTCCTGGTTGGATTGGTCACTCCTATGGCCAGCCCGTGTGTGCTCTTGGGCCCCAGCATGCACCTGCTCTTGAGCCACTGACTCATATCCCAACCCCATTGTAGCCAGGTTTCCTGGCACTGTGCCAATTTTCCTCTGTGTGTCATTTCTTCCCTTTCAAGTCCTCGCATGTCACTGCGATATAATTCAAAGCTTCTATGGGCTAGGATCCAGTGGACCCAGCCCAAACAGGAAACTCGCTTTCTCATTGTTTATTGGGAACCGCAAAGCAGCAAATGTCAGGCACTTGTTTTCAGTGCTTCATTAAGCTGCAAATGGATTGAAACTCAACTGTTTCCAGTGGGGCCTTCAACCATGGAATGATTTAGAGGCTTTAAGTGGTAGGTCAAGAAGGCTAATTAGAACATGAATTGACCCTAATCTCTCCTTGCTCTGATCATTATCATTGGCTGTGTCACCCTTTGCTTAGCATCTTGTTAGTCAGAGGCTACAAAACCTTGTGCAGAGCTGGGGTATCCTAAAGTACTCTGGGAAAATTCCAGTGAGTATTCCACAACATAACTCTGTGTAAAAGGTTTTGTTCTAGGTCTCTGCCCCAAACCTCTTTGTGAATCTCACAGTCTTGTCCATCACCACATGGCTTCCTCCAGTGCGCTGTGGGTACGCAGTTCCTATATACCGCTGTGGCAGATATATGTGTATAACACCACAGGCACTGTTGGCTGCTGTCCAATAGCGATTCTTCCTGCTTTTGCTGCAGTATGGCAGAGCTCACTTGCTACAGTAGATGACAATGCCAGATAAATGCTTTCCCAGACTCTTTTGCAACTAGGAATGCCCGAACTCCTTTGCATGTGACCCAGTTCTTCCAAAAAGTCACAAGTGAAAGTATTTTGGGAGAACTTCTGAGAAGGATTTTCCTCCCTGATAAAAAGAGAGACACAAGAGAGATACTCTCTTGCACTCTTATTGTCCCTTTTTTCCTGATGTGGTTGTGATGTTTGTCACCAAGGTGGCACTTTTGGGATCATGAGGCAAGCTTGAGGATAAATTGGAGTCTTCTGAGGATGCTGAGAATTAGGAGGAGGATGGAAAGAAACTGCATCCTTGACAATGTTGTTGAGCAGCTGCACCAAACCTGGAGCAGAACTTCCTACTTTTAGGAATGAAACTACTGTTGCTTAAACCCCTTTTAGACAGGTATTCTGTTACTTGCTGCCAAAAGCATTAACTGGTATAGATACCTCGTATTTAATAATACATGTTTGTCTTCTGTTTCTAAGAAGGAAGAAGTTACTGGAATACTTCTTCAACCCTGTTGCCTGGCTACCTCTTGCTCATCCTTGTTACCACACTACTCCATCTACATATTTATTTATCAGTTCATCTCATAAAGTTCTTGTGAGGTCAGAGTTCATGACCTTTGGTTCATTACCACAGTCCCCATTCCTGTTATGTAATAAATTGTCATTCAATAAATATTCACCAATTACTGAATGACTGGGGAGCTATTGAGGTGGAATCCCTAGAACTCAGCTATTGCCTAGAGATGAGAGAATGAAGTCAAGGATGGCTCACTGTTTCTGGCTCCTAGGTTGGCTCAAGGGTGCCATCTTTCCCCATGAGTCAACACCAGAGTGCAAATAGAATAGTTAAAGAAAATGAGTTTTGTCCTGGATGTGTTGAAATTGAGGAGGTGCTTTTGGAACAGTCCTATAGACAGTTGCACATAGGGTCTGAATTGAAGCTCCAGAAAACTGGCTGGGAAAAATGTGTAGCATGAGAAGAGACGTGACTTTTCAGTGCTCTTGTCTCACTGTGGGGCACCACTGTCCAGCTTGTTGCCAAAGCTAGAAACCAAGAAGTCATCCTTGACACCTCCTCTCCCTCACCTCCCACATCAACCCATCACCAAGTGCTGCGGACTCCACCTCCTTTCTCACGCCCATAAACTCCTCTCCATTGGTCCTGCCCTACTGGCGTGAAGCCAGCTGTCTCTCCTGCACTACTGCAGTGGCCTTTTATTTCCTGAATCCATTCCAGTGCCTTTTCACTCACCATATTCCAGTCACATCTATCTTCTCTCTTTGAAAGCACCAATTTCCTTCTTGTCCCAAGGGCTTTATCCACAAGGTTCCCTCAGCCTAAACATCAGGGAGGCCCTCTTTGACTACCCGACTCCCCAACCTTGGTAATCTCGGAAATTTAACTCTGTTGGAACACCATGGGGTGACTGGCTTTTGGTGACATACGCAGGCAAGTAAAACTTTAAAAGTCTGTGTATCAAAATTAAATTATTAATTAAAATGAGAAATATAACAACCAAGGATCAAAAACTCATGAGTGTGGACAAGTACGTTTTTCCCCTAGAAGGCAAATATACACAGGAGTGCCAAATAGCATGTGAGAACAGGATTATGCAAGGGGCATTATTTGATTGAGCTTAATGATCAAATTTGCTAAACCACGATACCCCAGTGCACCTATTTCCACCACAGAGATCTCTGTTGACACCTATTCCTGGGCTGCCGTCCCCAGTGCTGAAGACCCCCTGCCTATGTTTGCCTCCATCTCCTGAGCTGGAGTGGTTGACTTGTTACCCTATCAGGTGTAAGCTTGCTTTAGTTATGCTAACACCTACTTGGTTAATACTTAGTAAGGTTAAGGTCAGACCTGGGAGCTTTCTTTTCTTTTAGATAATGTTACAGATGTCTGCTCTAATCTATTACATGTATTTTATAATTCAATTTTAAGAGGTGTGAAAGCAGACTATTACAGGACTTTTATTCACTTCTTTAAAAGTCTATTCTTTAGACTTGTTGGTTTAGATTCTTTCAGGATCTGCACTGTTGATTGTTTTAGCAAATGGAACTGTAATCTTGAAGCTACAAGCTTTCTAATGATCTGGGGAGTTGTGGAGGCAGGTTCAGAAAGGAGATTTAACTCTAAAGACTAAAGTCTTTTGGAAGGAAGTTGTTAGATAAGAGGGAAGGCTGACAACATTCATACTCATAAAACCTTGTTCTGTAACTTAACAACCTCAAAAATAATATTGCAAAGCTGTCTGTAGGGAGCCCCATTTGGAAGTTCCTGATCTGCCACAGAACTTTAACCTTCCATTTCAACATATTTCACGCTAATCAGGTGACATGGGTAACAAGGATATTGGAACCTATAACTCCTAAAAGTATATAGTGTTTGGGGTCTTTAGCAGAAGAGCCTTAAAACCTTTTCTCTGTTTTCTACCTCAGAAGACCACAGGGGACATTTAATGACCAGATCACTCTTGTAAATTTATTATCTTGAAACAATAAGTAGAAGTGATTTTGTTTTGACAGAAGGCGCTCCTGTGGGGCCAGTCCATTGTGGCCTCTTTTTGTTTCCTGTTTGGGTTGTTTTTGAAACTTGTTGGAATAAATTTCATGTTTCCTTTCAAATATGCTCACTGTGGATGAGAGGAGGTGGAGGAGAAGTGCTTCAGGTGGCAGAGACCAGCAGGGGAGCTGCACCCACAGGAGATGGCATTCAGAGAAGTAGCTGTGCTAGAAGGCTGATCCCTTGGGCAGGTGGTGGCCCAGGGCCGTCTGGGAATGCGGGGAGCTGCTCTTGGGGTATTCGCCTCAGAGTGTTAGGACCATGACCTGAACATCTGTAACAGTCCTCAGTAATCCATTCTCATTCCTGAGAGGGGAGAACAACGGGTAGCTGAGAGGATACCCAAGGGGATGGGCTCATAAACTGAAACTGAACACAGTTTGCCTAACTACATCTGGTGCTATTACCAAGAAAGGAATAAGGATTTTAGCTCTTCAAAATATAAGCAGTTATAAGGCATATATGACTTCTAAACAAAATTTACACAAAACTGAGCTGTGAGTATAATTTATTCGTATTCTTACATGGAGATTTGTTATACAGACAATAGGAAAGAATACTAGTGCTTGCTAAGAAAACAAATAAAATACTCAATTTTAGAATAATACTTAGTAACAAAAATAGCTTGAGAAAACTAATGCCATTTAAATTAGACAACGTACAAAGGCTTTTAAATGTTCCTATTTACAAGTCTGTGTGAGTGCAGGAGAGCAGGTGTAATTAGCCCCCTAGGCTCCATTCTGAAGAGCCATTTGGAGGCCCCGGTTCCGCCATCCCAGGCTCTTCCCGCCTGGTAAGCCTTGGGTTGTCTTGGTGTTCTGTCTCCCTCTCCACCTGCACTCAACTCTTATTTCACAAATTCCCTAATGAGGGAGATTTCAGTTCAAACACTGAAGTTTTAGTTTTTCCACAGGAATACACACGACAGCTGCAAATTCATGGTTTCAAAAGGCTTTAGTCACAGGGTTTTCAAAATTGGAACAATGTTTTCCTGAGTAAAGGAAGATGTGAACTTCTCCCTAAAATATTTGTAGACTTACTTCCCTTCTATTTATTCATTCATCAAACTATGTATTTTACACTGAGCACTGCAAACCCAAGAGGAGAAAACCTTTAGGCTTTAGAGTCCCACAGTGTCACTTCCTGAATCTGCAAAAATCCTGAATGGAGACATTCTGAGGTGGAAGGTCATGAACATAACTTTCCATCACCATCTTCAGCATGTTTGGTTACAGGATCTTTGTAGGACTGGTAACTTGTTAATTAACAACAAATAAATAGAAACCCCAGGAGAATCCTTTACCTGTATTTCCTTTTGGTAGTTCAAATATCGTTGGTTTTTGAGTGAGAATATTGTGAGTGTTCAGAAAATAACGAATTTATTCTTAAAGTAAGAAATTCAACAACTTCTTAATACCTAGAAGCAATTTGACCTTAACTGTTAGTCAGTCTTTATAACATCTAAGACATCCTCTAATGAACTGAAGACATGGCTTTCTAGGACCCTCAGGTGTTAATGGTTTGATTCTGTGCATTTGTGGCATTTACAGAATTAATTTGAGGATTCAAGTAAAAATAACTATGCTGAGTATTTTATAAAAACATAACTTTTCTTTAATATGTAGGAATTGGTTAAGCCAGGAGCTTCCCCTTATTTTACCTCACTGAAAACAAATCCATTCATAAGAGATAATAAACTCTACATTAACAAATTCTTTGTAACATCCAAGAAAAGTGAGAATATGGAATAATTTGGCTTGATAGAATCCTTTTCTCCTGAAGCTCCGTCAGCCTGAGAAAAACACTACCATCTATAAGAGAATGGCACAGACATGGGCAACATTGAGGCGGGCCTGCTGAGGAGCCCATGAGCCAGAGCCGTGATCAGCTGGCACCCTTACAGTGCTTGCTGTGCCTGTTGTGTGTAACTTGCATTGATTTTAAACAAGTCAAACTGCTTATCTGAGAATTCTGCATTGATTTTGATTTTGCGACCATGAATTCCATTCACTTAAGGCTTAGTTGGTTTACAGAGCTTAATTTTTAATATTGTTAACATCATGTAGCCAACTAAACACCAAGAATATCAGTAAGTATCAATAGTTTGCTCTGGTCTGACTGCCTCTTCCGTTGGAGCATTTTGGCTTTACAATATATCACAGTGTTAGTGCCAAGGCCCCACTAGAGATTACAGTTCATAGACGGAGCATGTCATCTGGACATGTCACTCGCATGTTTGAGAACGTTCCTGGAATCTAAAAGAAAAATACAAAATGAGCGTAAGGACAGATCACTGAGGCGTTAGTACAAAAGTTGTTACTAGTGAAAAATAACAGTTTGCTGAGACACTGGCAGTCAGTCAGAAATGACTCGCGACCATGGCTGTGGATGGGAGTAGTGTCACTTCCTGAATCTGCAAAAATCCTGAATGGAGACATTCTGAGGTGGAAGGTCATGAACATAACTTTCCATCACCATCTTCAGCATGTTTGGTTACAGGATCTTTGTAGGACTGGTAACTTGTTAATTAACAACAAATAAATAGAAACCCCAGGAGAATCCTTTACCTGTATTTCCTTTTGGTAGTTCAAATATCGTTGGTTTTTGAGTGAGAATATTGTGAGTGTTCAGAAAATAACGAATTTATTCTTAAAGTAAGAAATTCAACAACTTCTTAATACCTAGAAGCAATTTGACCTTAACTGTTAGTCAGTCTTTATAACATCTAAGACATCCTCTAATGAACTGAAGACATGGCTTTCTAGGACCCTCAGGTGTTAATGGTTTGATTCTGTGCATTTGTGGCATTTACAGAATTAATTTGAGGATTCAAGTAAAAATAACTATGCTGAGTATTTTATAAAAACATAACTTTTCTTTAATATGTAGGAATTGGTTAAGCCAGGAGCTTCCCCTTATTTTACCTCACTGAAAACAAATCCATTCATAAGAGATAATAAACTCTACATTAACAAATTCTTTGTAACATCCAAGAAAAGTGAGAATATGGAATAATTTGGCTTGATAGAATCCTTTTCTCCTGAAGCTCCGTCAGCCTGAGAAAAACACTACCATCTATAAGAGAATGGCACAGACATGGGCAACATTGAGGCGGGCCTGCTGAGGAGCCCATGAGCCAGAGCCGTGATCAGCTGGCACCCTTACAGTGCTTGCTGTGCCTGTTGTGTGTAACTTGCATTGATTTTAAACAAGTCAAACTGCTTATCTGAGAATTCTGCATTGATTTTGATTTTGCGACCATGAATTCCATTCACTTAAGGCTTAGTTGGTTTACAGAGCTTAATTTTTAATATTGTTAACATCATGTAGCCAACTAAACACCAAGAATATCAGTAAGTATCAATAGTTTGCTCTGGTCTGACTGCCTCTTCCGTTGGAGCATTTTGGCTTTACAATATATCACAGTGTTAGTGCCAAGGCCCCACTAGAGATTACAGTTCATAGACGGAGCATGTCATCTGGACATGTCACTCGCATGTTTGAGAACGTTCCTGGAATCTAAAAGAAAAATACAAAATGAGCGTAAGGACAGATCACTGAGGCGTTAGTACAAAAGTTGTTACTAGTGAAAAATAACAGTTTGCTGAGACACTGGCAGTCAGTCAGAAATGACTCGCGACCATGGCTGTGGATGGGAGCTGCTCTCACAAAGGGCTTTCCACCATTCCTTTTTTCTTGGCTTGCAGGTAGAATATGCGGTTTTCTTCAGGATAAGTGACTTTACTGAGGGGCATCCGGTAGATGTTGGGGTTATTCGTGGCCAGCAAGAGGAACAGCAGTGTGGCCAAGCAGAAGGGCCATGTGCAAGACGGCAATCCGGCCTGAGGAAGAAGAGACAAGCCACACACTCACTGGAGATCCTGTCGCGGAGCTGCTTGCACAGCGTACCACCCTTCTCTCTGTTCTTATTCAGCCCAGGGGGACACATCACTAGGGCGTTGCTCTGGACTCTGCTTATGCCCACAAAGGCAGAGTCTAAGATCTCAGGCTATTTAGCAGTGAGATCCCTAATGGTCAGTTATATCTCTATCTTATATATCTTTCCTTTCCTATCCTACATTCAGACTTCCTACATCATCTGTGCAAAGACGATGCCTGGCACACAGAGATGACACTTAGCAAACCACCAATGGCTCCTAACCATTCATCACATATGCATTTTTTGATTAGCTCAGCCCATGGCAACCTCTCTCCTCTTGACTTCCACCCAGACTAGGTAGTGGACTCTATTTGCTTTACTTCTTTTTATTCCATCTCTCAAACAGACTCTAAGCTTCTTGAGGGTAAGTCCCTTTGTGCTGTCCATGGCAACTTATGCAATTCTGAGCACACGCCATGTACTTGGTTAGGTCTGGCCCTATGCATGGACCCCTGGGGTGTGATGGTGCTCAGACCCGACTGCTCATCAGAATTCTCTGGAAGAGTTGAAACAAATGTACATGCATAAGCATCATACAAGATCCTAGGCACAGGGCTTCAGAATCCGTATTTTTCAAAATCTCCCTCACTTATGCTGTTTTGTAGCCTGCCCAATCCTGGCCCATGGACCAATGTCTGTGAACCTTTGTTGGGATGGGAAGGGCCCCATTGTTCTAATATTCTCCCCATCATGCCCATAGTGGGGCTCTGGCTTTCTGCCATAAAGATATTATGTTTTCAGAAAGAACCTTCCGAGATGAACTCTATGTGCTTTTGATTGTGTGACCCATTAGCAGCCATGACCACATCAGCATGGAATGAGGTATCAGAAACTAGCCTTGTATCATCTGCCATGGAGGGTGACGAAGAGAGAAAAAATTCAGGACAGGGGGAAATGGAGGACCCTCAAACAGTTGGGGATACTGAGTCCTGAGGGGATGGGAAGGAGAAGGTCAATGGGCAGGGCAGTGCTAAAAGGAAGGACAAGGATTTTGCCTGTTAAATAATTCAGTCAGGACATGGGTCTGAATATTCCGATTAATCAGTGGGGATTTAAAAAAAGACAAGGTATATGAGATGTTACTGACTTGATTAAAAAAAAGAAAAATAACCATCTGGGTCTTTGACCAATTATCCTTTCCTCCATTTCCTGACTTCTCAACTACTACATAGTCCTGGCTTTCTGTTTGAGTGAAAGAAAAGGTCCTTCGGAAGACACGATATCCTTAAGGGGGAAAGTCAACTTGACACTCTGAGTATGAACTTGATAATATGTTATGCAGCCTAAGTTCCACTTCTTTAAATCAAGCAATCTGATATTTTCAGCAAGCCTGGCAGTTGTAGTTTGGACTAAAATTTACTGTGATGCAGGAAGTTGAGTGAGGATGGGCAGGTCCAGGAGATGGGAAAGTGGTGGCTCTCACAGTCATGGACCTGCCCCAGGGCACTCCCCAGGTGGACTTCAGGGGGGTTTACTTATCACTGAAAACTGACCGAACATGCTGATGAGAAAGTGAGATGAAAGCAAACTCACCACAGCCATCAGGTTGGACATGCTGACTGCGAGGTAGGCAGTGAACAGGGCTGCAGAGAAAGAGCAGAGAACAACACTTGGTAAGTGGCAGGGTTCTGGGGAGCCGAGGGAGAGAAAAGGCCCTTGAGTGCAGAAGGGAAGGCTGCATGGATTTCAGCTCTTCATAGACAATGTGCATCCCAACAGACCACCCTGTCCTCCTATGACCACCGAGCCATGAAAAAGAAATACAAATGCACCTACAGTTTGCATTCATAAAACAACGCAGCAGAGGAATCCCCTGGCCACGCAGTTTCCGCCTTAGAGGCGGGGCAGGCAGCATTGCCTGGCTCTGCCAGATTTTCTCAAGTCCTCTTCCTGATAAAGCCGTTGAACTAATAAAAGAGCAGCTCTGTGATAAATGTCTGTTATTTATTTACATTGGCTGACAAGGTTAGTCTTTTGTTTGGCAGTGCCAGGGTGATGTGGAAAGTTAAAATTTGCTTTGGTGTTTTACATGGGAGGTTTGCTTTATAAGGGGGGCTGGGGGTCTGTCTCAAAGCTATGTCTAGAGAGGAAAAAGACAGATGGTACCCAGTGTGGATGGAACAGGCACTCTCACCCACCGGCGGGGGCTGGGGAAATTGGTTTGGCCTTTGTGGAAGTGAACTTGGCATCTTTTGAAATTCAAATTGCCAGAGCTGGGATTTTGGTATCAGAGTCTGGACTTTTGAGTAGTTCAATATATACTGCCTCTACTGTTACGCTACACCAGAAAAGAAAATCTGATCTAGCTACAGGAAAGTAGGTGAGATAGGCAGAAAAACGGCCCCAAAGACATCCACATCCTCATTCCCAGAACCTGTGACGATGTCTCAAGGGATTTGCAGCTGTGATTAAATTAAAGATCTTGAAATTATCCTGGATTATTTATGTGAACCCAATGTAGTCACAGGGTCCTCAAAAGAGGAGGCAAAAAAGTTATATCTAGGGAGTAGGATGGAGTATTTTCACCTTCTGCTTTATACTCCCCGATATGGGTGGAACTTTTGTGTTTCATCTTGAGCAATGAGCCTGTAAGAGAGAAAGTAAGGAAGGTATCCCTGCTTTGGAGAGGCTCACGTGCACACATCTTTGGCTTCATCCCTTTCCGTGGTCTGCCAAGCCTCATCAACAGTTCCTGGGCTGGAAACAGCTCTTGTTTCAGCTGTAGGACTTGCTCAGGTGTCCTTGTGCTGGCCCGGACCTCCCTCTCTGCCAGCTAGAATGCCTCTTCTCAATTTTTAGGACTTGCAGAAAAGTCTTCTCCAGGAGGTGCTTCCCGATGACCCTGAGCTGTGCCATCCCCCCAGGGGGTGCTGTGCCACGGGTGTCGCCTTGTTCCGCTCCAACCACCCCCTGGACTCCCATGGGCTCTCCCTCACTCACCCGGCTTCTGCCCTTGCCTGTAACACTCTTTGCTCAGGAACCACCTCTGACCTGATGCTTTTAAAACCCTAGCTCTTCCTTGTGTTGTCTGTGTTGTATCATGAGTGTTTAATATGTATCTTCTCCTACTACCAATACAGAAAAATAAAGGTATTCACCCCAAATAAAGGTCTGAAACCTCAGACTCATCTCAGAATAAAGATGCTAACCCCACTGAGCCCAGGTGGCCACACAATCTGTCTAGTTTTCTTTGCCTGAAGTTTGTGAACACATAAGGGAAAATGAGCAAAAAGTTTTGACAGGGCTATTCGGTGAAATAGCTGTGCAGCTTATAAAGAAATTGACAAAATGGCTTGTGGATGGCAATACCACAGCAAGCAGAGTTTTGTTAGCCTTGCTACAGGATCAGAAAATGACCACTGAATGAGGCCTTAGAAATTCTTGGTCCTACCCCACCTCCTGCCCAGTGCAGGAATCCATTCTAAATTCTGTCTGACCCATGACCTGCTGTTTTATTTTATTAAAAAAATTTTTTTTTTGGTTTTACTGGAAGTATAAGTGACACACAATATTATATTAGTTTAATTTGTATAACGTAGTAATTCAACCTTTGCATACATTTTGAAATGCTCACCTTGGAAGTCTAGTTACCATTTGTCACCGCACAAGGTTAACACACTGCTGACTATAGTGACTGTGCTGTACATCACATCCTTATGACTTCTTCATTTTATAAGTGGAAGCTTGTGTTTCTTGATCCCCTTCACCCATTTTACTCCGCATTTCCTCAACTTTCTTCCCCTCTGGCAAACACCAATGTGTTCTCTGTATCTATGAGTCTGGGTTTTTCTGTTTGTTTTTTGATTATACATGTGAGATCATATAGTATTTGTCTTTCTCTGTCTCACTTATTTCACTTAACATAACACCGCCAGGTCCATTCATGTTGTTGCAAATGGCAGAATATTCTTCATTTTTATGGCTGAGAAGTATTCCACTGTGCATATACGTGTGTATATATTTATATGGTCCACCATTTAATAGCAGCCTGGATACCTTGGATTGATTACTCTGGTGATAAACTGACTCTAGACAAATATTTCCATAAGGTTAGAAATAATTCTGCCCATTCCATTATCCTACCACCCCTTTGTCTCCAGGGAGAGTCATCCCCTTCACTCTAGCACATTCTCTTAGATACTTTTACTTGTATTGAATTAGACACCACAGGCTCTGGGTGAAAAAGCCTCCCCTTACAATGGCCTGGGACACCCATTAGCTTTTCAAGTCCAAATCACATAAGATCTGTTTTTACCCAAAGGCCTGAAGGCCGCTAAAGGGAAGCAGAGTAGTACAGTGGGTGTAACTATGGAGCTGTCAGCAAATGCGGGTTCTGGGTCTGCATTCAGCCCTAACTGGATGCCCTTCAGCACATCACTTTCTCTCTCCGGCCTCAGACCCCACGAGTTGGTGTGGAGATGCCCAGAACCCCTTCTAGCTGTGAGAGGCTGAGTCTGGCTAGAGCACGGGGGTTAGAAAGGATTAACACAGCAGCTCTCAAAATGTGGTCCACAGACCGAGAGCGCCAGTGCCATCCAGACCTGGGCAGACCCTCCCCTACCTCTAGCGATGAATCAGGGGCCAGAGGTGGGGCCCAGCGGTTTCTGTGTCTTAATAAGTCTTCCAAGTGAGGCCGATGCACACCCAGGTTTGAGAACAGCTGGGTTAATGTGCTTCTCAAAGGGTCACGTGTAATCCTACTGATTCGCCAGGGGGAATGGCTCTGTATTTAGCCTGAATTATTTCTTATTAGTTTCTTGGGTCAAACGATTAGCATGAAAACACAGGACAAGTCCAGGTTCTATGCCCCAACATATCTGTAAAATGGTTACTATGACTCAACTGGATGTGCTGTCTTCACAATAACTAATGAGACTTCACTCGGTGACCAGTGAGACCTGGTTCGCACAAGCACCAGGCAGACTGCACTTCTCCCAGGAGGGGATGTCACACACTCAGAGGGCAGAGGTCCTGACTGGAGCCCCAGTCCTAGTTTCTCACACAGTCCTTTTTTACAGTTTGTCTTCGATCTCAAGCAACCTTTCCCTCAGAGGCCCGGGATACTCACAGCAGGCGAGAGCCAGGAGGTGGGTTTGCCAGGTGAGCGCCATGAACATTCCCCCAATGGCAATACAGGCCAGAGAGCTGTTGAAACCCCAGAGTCCAGAGTAGATGTCCTCAAACGGAGCTGAAAGACTGAGTCCTATTAGGTAAGACAGGATGGGTCAGGCTGTGGATTGAAGTCCAGATGCTCTGGAAGGAGTCTGGGGGTGGGGGAAGCAGCTGCCTCTGGTCCCCTAGAAGCAGAAAGGCCTGGAGTGCGGGGGGCAGAGGAGTGCTCTGTCTTTGGTCATGAGGGTTTTGCTTACCGGCTGCAATGCCCAGCAAGGACCCGATGGCAGCATGCAGGCACATGAGCGGGGAGAAGAGTAGGATGGCACAGAGGAAGATGCCCCCTGTCCATGGATTGTCACAGCCAAACATCTGACCAATACCCACAGGCAGGGATTTCAGTAACTGCAAAAATGATTTAGAAAATGAGGCTGTTGAAAGAACTGACCAGAAACGCACAGGACACCCACAAAGTCATGTTAGATTGAGCATATCTTATCTTTATGGTCAGTGTTACTAATTTTTAAAATCTTCTCTTTACAGATAAATCTCCTTTGTTCTTCTGCTTTATCCTCAGAGGCACCCAGCCCTTCCCTGGTGCAGGCCAAGCCCTTCCCTGGTGAGACCCCTTCACCCCCGGGCGCTGCCTTTGCCCCGACACTCGGCTTTGGTTGCTGATAAGCACAGGGCGGTGTCACTACCCTCATGGTGAGGTTGGCTGCACCACCTGATGAGGATGGCAGAGACCACAGCTTACACTTCTGTGGCTTTCAACTGTCCATCAGCTCTGAGGCTAGTACATCAATGTCTCCCTAGGGTCAGTAGTAATATTATTCCCACACAACTTGGTGGTTAATGCTAAGGCCAGAGACCTGAAATCGAGTTATGTTACCCACAAATCAGAAGCAATTATCAGCAAGCTCATGAACCAAGACCATACTTACACTTCTGTTGTTAACAAAAACATGTATTAATTTAAGCCAAGATACCCTTAGCTTATTCCAATTATCAACAACTGTCAGTTCTCAAAACACAAGAATGCATGTAAACATCAGAATTCTACTTTCTGGCTGAGGCTTGAATTCAGCTAATGTGTTCACAGAATGGCAGTTCTCAGAAAGGTACAGGGTTTGATTCATGCCAGCAAATGATAATTCTTTATAACAACACCATTGGTGTGGCCAGGATGGCATTAGCTGTGTTCCCTTTTGACCAAGCCATTTACGGAAAGATGCCTTCCCCACCTCCCGTCTCCCCCACTCCCTTCTTCTCTAGGTCATAGGTGTATCTTTTGGCAAGGGAGGCAGTGCCTCTGATACAGGGAGGCCCTGTTTTGGCAGGAGGAGATGTCCTTCCCCTTCATGCATTAGGCTGGGTCTAATGCTGGCTGCAAACATTGGTCTGGTGCCTGCTCAGGGCACAGGACCATACTGTGGGTTTGATTATATTCTAAGATGGGCCCTCAATTCTTCCAGCCCTGCTGGATCTTCAAGTCTACACAAGAGCATTTCCTGTTTCTTGTAGAACAGGACACTTGACACAGGCAAAGACTGCTTAGGATTTTATGTCAGAACTGGACAGCAGAACTATCCCCCAGGTAGCCAAGGACAGGAGCATGAGATTGGGGATAAATGTGCCGATGCTGGGGTAGTAGTTCAGGGTGAGAAGAATGAGACCCCACTCTCCCAGCTCAGCACCACCCAATAAACCTTTCCATGATGATGGAATATTCTGTATCTGCGCTGTCCAATGCAGGTGGCTATTGAGCACCTGAAATGTGGCTAGGGAGGTAAGGAACTAAATTTTAAATTAAGTTAATTGTAATTAATTTTGCATTTAAATTGAAAGAGCTACAGGGGCTAATAGCTAAACTGGCCAGTGAGGTTTTAGGTAGATCAATTAATATCATTTTACAACATTATTTTTCATGGGTAGTTGTAATACATTTTTGGTTTTCGGTCTGAGTTCCTTCCAAGTGCTCCCAGTCATTTTCTGGTCAAGTAGCTGAAGAAGAGTTTCCTTGAGCTCCTCATGTTTTGCTCACTCAGCAAAGAGGATCACAAAAGGGGGTCCACAGCCTGAAGGTGGGGAAGCCAGTCTTCTGCACGTCAAAAAAAGGTAAGGCTTCTTTGGTGTTCTTCTGATTTCAAATGTTTTCTTATTTTGAATAATCAAGAAACCTTAAAAAGATTTATTAAATAAACACAAATAGGAAGAGTTGGAATTTGACTTGGTTTAGCCAGGATTTTTAAAATGGTGCTCTCTTTATGCACATCTGTAAAGAGGTACATAGCATATGTCCTATGACAGTCCTCAAACTGGCCCACATCACTATTATTTGATGAGCTTGTTAATACAGTTTCCTAGGCTAAACCCCCAGAGATTATGATTTAGGGAGTGTGAGATGGAGCTTTTGGTATCTAAAAAACAATGATTCTGACCTACCAAAACGTGAGAAACTTGAATTATTGTACGTATTCTGAGATCTACCATGAGAAGAACAGAATAAAGAGGTTCTGTAATGGGATCTAACAGTAAGTTCATTTGATTGGAGGAGGCAGGTCATGGAGGGCTTAACCCTGGGCTGGAGGCTGGCCCCCATCATACCCACCCACCCAAGGACCAAGTTGGAAACAGGGTGTCTGATTTCTAATGGATCTGGACTGTAGATTTAGCACTGCAGATTTTAAGAGGGGAAAAGTTAGCTTTGACCAAATAGTCACTTTAAAAAGCCCTTAGAGCCCAAAACTTTGTAGTAGAACATATGCATTAGATGGCAAGATGAAGGCAGAAGCTGGAGTCTCTAGAAGGTTCTGATGCCATGAACAATTACCCACAAGGACCCTGGGCATCTTCCAGAGCCAGGTGGGTGCAGATGTGAGAAGATAGTGTATCTCACCTGTAGAGCATTGAGGTCAGTCCAGGTGACATTGGGAACCGAGGTTACAGGTGTGAACAATTTGGCTGGAAAGAACGGATTGTAATGCCCTGTGGCCGAAATGTACATTGACAATGCCATGTTGAAGGGCAGAGTGAAGACAGGGAGGTCCCATTTGTGGAAGACGGAGTTCAATGCGCTTGAGAAAACTGGACTAGAAACAACAACAGAACATAATGAAGAATATGGTGTGAAGAGCCAGGCTGACAGGCCGAATCGCTTTGCTCATCAGCAGGTATGTTCCTGAGGTGCTGGGCTGGCAAACTTTTCCCAGGATAAAAACCCCAAGCACACCTGGGATAAATCCTGTTCAAGAATAATGCTTGCATAAAGTCCACAATCAATTCTTAGCTTATTTGGCTTTGAGAAAACGATACTCTGGGGTTTCTCACAGTGAGTTATAAAATCCAGGTTTTAAAGATAGTTGTGAAGTATGTAAGACATACGAAATATAACACTATCTACATGGTTACAGCTCCCTGTGCACACTATGTGACCATACGCCCCTCCCTCCCAACGAGAGGCAACCACAGGTTATTCAGTGAATGTGCAGGTTTAGGGACCCGCTGTTGCAGGGAGTGGTTCTCAAAGCACTTTGATTGTACTTTAGAACCCCCTGGGAGCCTTTCAAACTGCCAATTCTCAGGCAACACCCCATTTCAATTGCCACAGAATCTTGTGGCAGGGAGTGGTGAGGTGTGTGTGGAGAGCCCTATGCATCCATGTATTTTAATGCTTTCTGTTTCCAATAGACATAACTTGAATCTAAATTAAAAAAAAATTATTTTTCTAAAAACTGCATTACATAACATAAAACTTACAATTTTAACCATTTTAAAGTGTGTGGTTCAGTGGCATTAAGTACATTGGCATTATTGTACAACCATCAAGGCCATCTGTTCACAGAATATTTTTCATCTTGCAAAAACTAGAACTCTGTACCCATTAAAACATAATTCCCCATTCCCTCCTCCTGCAATTTTTTTTAAAAGGCATTTTGAAAACCAGATACGACTCACCAAGTCATGGACATAGCAGATACAGGGAGTAGCAGCCACCAGAAGTAGTTTCCCTTGTCTGAAAGCACAGCCATGAGTATGCCCACCAGGGTGGCATTGTAGCCCTGGAGCCCTGCTGCGATCGCGGACCTGTGGGCAAGAGGCACAGCATGGATTTGCACATAAATGAGACTTGTAACTTACAGATCTTACTTACATTAAATAATGAGATTATTCTGAGAAATTTAATTCAAAGTCTATAGCCACCAAATACTAGTAAAAACATGAAAGAATAAGATATACAGAGACAAAATACAGATGTGCATATGGGACAACGCCCGGCAGAGGCATCATAGTTTATGGTAGAATTCTAGCATCTAGGGCAGGAAAGGGGAAATCAGCAAGGCAACCCGTTCTGCTTCCTTTAGGCCTTTCCTTTGGAAAGTTGTTATTTCTTTTAAATCACTAAAGTCCTCTGACTTGAACAGAACTTTTACATGAAACCATTTCCTAAGTCCGATTGTCTTGGTGAGAGATGTAAGACTGTTGAAATGTAAATTTACTTTCATAGTGTCTGTGACCTTATGAACATTAATCTTCCAGCACAGCATACATTTTAATCTTCCTGGAGTTCCATTTTGTTGTCTCCAATGCACACTTCCAAGTCATTGCAAAGAAAAACAATTACTTTTGTTTTACTTTGCATTTAATTATGTGCATATTTTGTATCTAATCCTTTCTTGCATCCCTTTTAGCTTCTCAACACTTAACCTTACTTCTAAAGGTTGTCTTATAGGTAGGGTTCTACTCCTGGCCAAAATGGTTCTCATTTCATTATTTGGAACCATAGCCCCATGTAAGCAGCAGAATGATTTCCACAGAATAAGCCCCAAGGCTGACAAGCCCAACCCTCCAGTGCTCTGAGGGGTGGCAACATCTGGTACCACGAAGGGCCAACATTCAAGGATGAAGTCTGAGGGGGTCTGCGGTGTGAAGATGGTGAAGTGAGTGGGTGAGGTTGAGTGCAGGGCTGAGTGGGAGGTGATGCAGACAGTGAGCCACACTGCAGGGGGCACCGAGTGGTGGGAGAGCTTTAACTGGTGCAGGAGTCACCAGGGTAACAGCAAGACGATGTCACGTGACATTCACCTGGGTGAGAGCATTGGAGGGGGGGCCTCCCTGCTCCAAAGTGCTTTGTTTTCCTTAACTAATCCTCTGGGACATGTGGGAGAGGATGTGATTTATACTGGGTTAGTCCAGGAAGTGATACTGCCCTCCAAAACTGGGACTATACATGACAGTGGAGAGCTATGCAAAAACTTCTCTTCTCTACAACTGACTTTGAATTTAAAGCCTGAGTTTGGTCAACAAAAAATTAATTGCAATGCCTACAAGCTGTGGAATGCCAATGTTAAAGCAACAGGAAGATGTATTCACTTAAAACAGAGGATTGCCATTTTAATACGGTCCTTTAGGACTGAGGAAAGTAAAAGAGATTTGAAAACTATCACATGTAAGCATTACTTGTTTTCTAAATAACACCTGATAAGGAAAATGGGTCAACTTTCATGGGAGCAAAACAGTGAAGGAATATTTGATATGGCACACATTGGACCACACCTCCAAACTGGACAGGCTGTTTCTTGACGTGCATTGGAATAGGATTTAACCTAAGAAACAAAATCACCCTCTACAGAGAACTCAAACTCCTCGGACCTGTTGGGAAAGTGGAGAATTTTCTGACTCTTTCCTGAGAAGCTCCTTAGGGCGATTTACAGTGTTACATGAGCTTAGTTGCATAATGGCCATCTACTGGTGATTATGCATCGCTCCTAAAGGAGTGACTAGTCAGGAGCCCTCCAGTCCTCTGCTGGGAGTCAATAATGGCCATCTACTGGTGATTATGCATCGCTCCTAAAGGAATGACTAGTTAGGAGCTGTCCAGTCCTCTGCTGGGAGTCAGCTCATCACTTCTTCAATGACACGTCAATTTCTAAAGTACACACTGTTTTTAATCTAACACATAGTTCAGACGACATACTAACACTTCCTAAGTCAGAGCTTGATAACTTGGAATTTATGGCTGTTCATCATTCCAGAAGCTCAGCTAACCTTTGCACTGTCTATGAAGAATACATTTGCTAAACTAAGCCTGGAAACCAGATATAATAGGATCAGTGGGGTTTTTAAGCCACTAAGACCTAGTCATGAACTCATACCTATTTTTGCCCCAACAAAATGCTGTGGATAAATACTTGATCAATCATTAAAGAAGAATGATTAAATGAATGATCAATGAAGAGATAAAGGCTATAAATGATTCCCTGACCTCTGACTAAAGGCAAATACAGAGTACTGCGGAGTAAAGGTGGTTTCTTTTGGCAAGGGAGGGGCTTTATCAGTGCTGCCCAAAGTCACCGGCTGGCTCCCATGTTCCCAAAAGTGCCTAGAGCAGGCCCGGATGGCTGTGCCTACCTGTCCTGACTGAGCAACAGGGCCGTCAGGGTGGACACCACTGTTCCCACACAGCCACTGAGAGCCCACCAGGGGTTCTGGACCAGGAGTCCCACCAGAATCAGGATTCCGCTGATAGGGTTGCTGACGAACACCACTTGGGATAGGCCACGAAGAACCCAGTCGATGAACTGGAGCACCTGTGGTTTGTCTGGAAGAGATGAGATTTGCTGGGCTAAGGAGGCAGCCAGGCAAATGGTGCTCCTTTACAAGTCCAAGGCTCACCTTCTGATGAAGAGGAAACTAATTTTTGATACTCCTTAGAGCTTTTTCCCACTGAACCCTTTCCCCTTCAGTGGCACCCGGATCCTTGAAAGCACCAGTTTCTCTTTATGCTCAATCCACACTGTCCTTCCCAGTGCACTTATTCACAATATTCAGAGGAATATACTTTTAAGCCAAAGGAATGAATTTCCAATAGTAAAATTTCAGCTTTTAAGTACTGAAATTACAAGACAGACCCAGGTGCCTTCCTTTAATATGAGCAGGGCCCAGGCCATGACCACTATCTCCATAAAGAAATTTGAAGAGCTTTGCAGGTTAGGAGATAAGAATTTAAAAAACAGAGAGTAAAGAGATAGATCGATGGTAGAAGAATATAACTAAAGAAATGAGCAGAACCAGCAAACCATTTTCCCCAAAGCCACTTCTCCTATCCCTCCAAGGGATGGAAACATAAATACCTTTAATCCAGTTGGCAAATTCTCTCATATCCCCGGTCACATAGCCGAGGGCCTTGGGGAAGCACCTTCTCCCTCGACATGGTGAAACCTGATTCTCACCCTGGTCCAGCTTAACCATAGTGGGGCTGTCCTCCATGGCTGTCTCTTCCTCCGACTCCTTGCGGAAAGAACAGAGCTCATAAATATCCTAGTGCAGAGAGCTTCAGATTGGGTTTGGTCACAGTAGCCACAGAGGAAGAGTTTAAAAGAGCTTCATCTGGACCCACAGGACTAAGAAAGTACCATTTCCCTCTTGAAATATTGTCACAGAGATTATTACCCAAACCCAAATCCTATATGAATTTTGTCATCACTGTGTCTAATGCTACCATGAGAAGGTTCTGGTCTTTAATTTCATAGGGCTCAGTTTCTAGTTCAACAAATATTTGTTGAGCATCTACATCTTGTATTCAAAAAGTCTAGTGGAAAAGACTGAAAAATAGTCAATTATAACATAACAAATTAAACAATAATATAGAAAGAGCTAAGATCAAGTACTTAAACTTCATGCCTCCAATTAAAGGAGACAGACATTAGGTCACACAATGGACTCACTAATGCTGACCAATCAGCTACTTTCTAAGACTAGCAGTGTTTTTAAATTAAATTTTTACATTACAAAAAATGGTTTTGTTTTTAAAAGCTTGTGTTTTGACACAGTCTAAGAAAACTTCCTCATGCACACTCTCTAAGTCAGAGATGGTTTTGACTATGTCCTCACATCGAGCAATGGCCTCAGATTTTCTTTATTTTTGGAATTTGTTATTTAAATGTTTAAAAACAGGTAAGAATAATATTCCACAAAGGTATAGCAACTGGGAAAGGTGGAAGTGGACCAAGCTTTTGAAAGCCAGAGTTGTAATCTAAGAATTGCACACATACGGATGTACAGGGCATGAGTAGAGCAAGTACGCCTCGGGAAACTACCAACAATATAACCGTGACTTGTGTTCCCCAAGAGACCCTTCACTTCTCATGGCAGACGTGTAAGAGGAAGGCACCAACATTACCCAAATGGCATCCTGCAGACACAAATGAAGGTTTCCTGGTGTTGATGGTAGATACCAAAGAAGAATATCAGTGATGTAAGCCCAGAGGTCAGTAAGGGGAGGAAGACACCTTGACAGTGCGAGAAAAGCTGAGGGCGCAGCCAGGTAAGTGTGAAGCGGGAAGCAACAACCCCATCAGACTCCGGAGGGCACACATGTGGAGCGTGGAAACCACAGGCACATAAGACATGACCAAGGAAATACCCAAAACCCACGCAGATAAACCAGCTCGTCTTCTCCTGAGGCCAGGCTGTGAATAAGGGGTTCTCACGGCTATTCTGGGCCCCATCATTGTTTCATTTGCCATAGCCTTTAACAGATAATAAAGCTATTAACAGATGATAAAGCTATGCCTTTATAGTTTTGAGTTTTTGCAATCCTAACTTGAGTTTTGCCTTCTACTAATCCCAGTATGGAAATCAATGTGGGAGACTGATTTTTTTATTGAGTAACAGTTACACTTTGATTGGATTATTTCACTGCCTAACTAACCATCCTGCTTTTAAACAATGGCCAACCATTAATCATTACAAAAATTAGAAGCTATTGATGCGAGGAATTCTAGATAGACCAAGCTCATTTTGTCTTGGCAAAATAGTGTTATCACTAGCATTTATTGAGACTGCCAGTGAACCTCTGCATTAAGAAATTCTTATATTGAAAAGTGCTGGAGGCCAGGAACCCAAACTAAGTTTATATGGAGAACAGCTGGCCCCATAGTTAAACATGTAAAACTGTTCAAATTATTAAGTGATTATGATAAATCACCTTTTGTTTCATAACCTACGTGATGGCTATTATTTATTTTCACATACTTCCTTTAAATCTCATAATTGAAAATATTGCTCAGCAAGCCCCTTCCTCAGCTAGGTGACCCATTTTCAAAGCCCTACCAACTTATGAGAGGCACCAAGCTTCAGCCCAGGCAACATGAAGCTCGAATACAACTGTCTTGAGTTTCTGTAACTGAGTAGATGAGGTCCCACAGGGGCAACATGGAATGAAAACATTATAGGGGCATTTTCCGTCAACTACAGAAACCATTAGGTATCTGGGACATTCCAGGGTGAACAAATCATGTTCTCAAAATTTCCAGCATTATATTTATTTATTTTAGAGGCTTTAAAAATATACCAACACCTCAGAGATTTTGGAGATACAGATAGAAAACCTGATATTATCATGGGCCAAACATGATTGAGAACCTGAATGGCCTGAGTTCCCTGCTGAGCCACCCAAAGTTAAATAAAGACTAAACTATTTTTTCCTGAACCAACAGCCCAACATATAGAAAGCTTATTGTGATTTGCCTTCTCCAGTATCCACATACTGGGATGGCTTGTAGGGCTACCAAATCCTAGAGAGAGGGGTCTTCTCATGAGCAGAGCAGATGGATGATGCCATTGCCAACCAGCCAGGAGCCTTTTGGGGGGAACTGCTGTGTACTTTTGGAGCCCCTGAGAGTCCTGGCTTCTTGCTCTGGAACTCAGGCGTGAGAACTGGTTCTGAGAAGCCAGTGACTTGTAGTTTGCCCTAGAATTTTATTCCACCAGACTCTGCATTTCTTAAGGGAACTTTAAGAATCCACACATCCTGATCCTGAAGGGGATGCAAGGCTGTGGGGCAGGGACCTCTACTATTGCTCAAACTTCTCAAATTTACTAAGTTAGCTGTTAAATGTCAGCTAAAAAGACAGTAAAAGAAAATAAAAGGAAGAAACTCTCATAAGATAGAAGCAGGATAAGTTAAAAACCCAGACTACTTTTTCCAAGCTTTTCCATGGTTATCAAAATTCTGCAGCTCAATGGCTGGTGTCTAAACCGAGATGAGTGCCATGTGACTTTCTGGACCCAGACCCAGGCATCCAGCTCAGCCTAAGCCGTACCGCCCTGCAGAGCGTGAGGACCCTACTTCCCAGGCTCTGCAGAAAAGACACAGCAGAGCTTGGCGCGCAGGCGCTGAGGTTCCCAGAGACGGAGGCTGCACGAGGGAGGCATACCTGTTCTGGCGGCCCGCCGGCCAGGGCCAGGGTTAGCGGGGGGACGCCTCTGTGCGCTGCCTCACCAGCTTTATTTCCAAAAGGGTCTGTCCAAAGTGGACCAGGACGGGCGTCATCAGCGCCGCCAATCAAAGTCTGTCCATTCATCCTTCCTTTCTCTCCATACATGACAAAGGGCAAAAATACATGAATCAGCAGCAGGACGAGCCCTGGCTCTGAGGAGCCCATGAAATTCGAGAGAGGTGGGGGCAGGGAGCACATCCAGTGGGTTCCTGGGGAGGGGAGATGTGGCCCCAGGCAGAGACCTCCAGCGGAGAAGGCAGACTTCTCCATCCAGAGCTCCATCAGCAAAGGGAGACAATGAGCTGACTCCAGACAGAGAATGTTCATTTTAAAGCAGAGGAAAAAGTGGTGGAGACCATCTGCGCGGAGACCCCCACTTGGACTTTGTGCTGCTGCTGTTTCTCCACTAGCAGGAGGCTGGAAGATTTGGAGCCTGTTTCAAAGGCCCCGGGGCGGATGCCGGGCCAACTGCTAGGGACCTCTTGGGGACCAACACCAAGGCAACCATTTCCCTCATCCTGTTCTTCACAAGTTAGAAGTCGAGGCACGATGTGGGCTCCGTGTTCTGTAATGAGGCACCAGCCACACTTGCAGTGCCCAACAAAAGCCCAGGCTAAGAGACTGCTAATAGCACTTTTTCTTGTGTCTGAATGAGAATTGCTAAATATTGGACATCCCCTTGTCAATAAACAATTCTTAGTGGAATTCAACACCTGTGGCTGCTTTTTGTAAACTTTTTTTTAATTTAAACTTTCATTGTATCCAAGGAAATCATTCTTTCTTCAGAAGTCCCGGAGAAATTGTATGTATGGTATTTCTTTTTTCTTCCCCTTTTATTTAATTTTTACTTTCTTTTACTAGCTTGATTTGAAAATCCAAAGTTGTGAGAAATATTACTGACTTGTCTTAAGAAAAAAATCATGTGTGTGTGTGTGTGTGTGTTTATCCATATACTACCTGGTTAATTAAGTACCAGACAAATGTGTCTGAAGGTTGCATTATGTATGTTTTTGTTTGACAAAGAACAGAATTAAGAAAGTCAGTGGTAGGACTCTCATCTTATACATTGTTAAAAAAAAAAAAGAAAAGCAAGCAAGAAAGAGACAAGCAGGGCTTCTCACATTTCCTTAGCCTGAGTGTTTACCCCTTCTGCCCCTGTGTGGTTCCTGCCTTTCCCCCACCAACAAAATCACACACAACATTTTCTTGGAGCCAAGAGACAGAAACATTTGAGAGGTGGGGTTTTAGAGGGCACATAGTTCAAGCCATTTTATAGAAGAGAAAAGAGAAAACTGAGGTCCCGAGTGGGGACCATTCAAGGTCACTCAGCAGAGACAGTCTTATGAAACCGATAAGCCCTGCTGGTTCTTTGTCTTTCAGTCTGGAACCAGGCACATTAATGCCACCCAAGGCTCTATTCAAGTCAAGCAACAGTGAAGGAGCAGCCTTGGAATGCTGGGGTTCTGCAGTGGGGGTTAGGGCTCGGGGATGTGGTAGACACAGCCTGTCCTCATGGCTGCCTTGAAATAACCTTGAGGCTGGAGGTGAACAGCAACAAAGCGCCCTGCCATCCCAGCTTCACCCCATGCCCTGGCTGGGCACAGTGCCTCCTCTGACAAATAAACATGTACCTGTGCCTCACAAGTGAGCCTCCTCTCTGGTATCACTGACACATCCACAAGGCCTTTCTGGTCTGACGTTAACATCCCCAAAATACTCTGGAAGCGGATCCAGCAAAAGGCAGAAAGCACTTTTCATAGCCCAGATCACTAACAGAGAGAAGCAGTACTCATCTTTCTAATAGAAGGTAATATCAAAATTTCAATTCAACCAATATCCCTATTTTATCATACAAAATAAAACTCATTCCACTGTCAGCATCTATTAGAAATTTGTGCAGTTGGAGACACTGAACGTCTCCACGTTTTTATGACTCAAGGATCACTTTTAAAAGTAATACAAAATTTGGATATAGATATAGAAGAAAGCACTTAAACATTCATGCTCAAATATAATAAGCAGACTTTCACCATTAACATTTATTTGGTACTTACAAAAATCTTTATTTTGGGTCTTTTCTGACTGTAAGTGGTGGAAGGTGTTCAGTTTTCTTTAAACATGTAATCAGAAACAAAGAAAATGTTGTCAGCTATTCCTGTCTCCTGATTAAAACACTCTCTCCTTGGAACGCACCACACCTAGGAGCCCTGAGGTCTGAATTCCACACCAGAGCATGGAGCTGAAAGGAAGCTGCCTAATTTGTGGCTTCGGTGTGGCCAACTGGTTCTCCTGATGGAAATCAAAGACATTCCCTTCGGCATGACAGCACAGCACATGCAGACAGGTCAATAAAACCATAATTCATAATTGGAAAGGGCCATTCCCAGTACCCCACTTTTTTTTTGAGTCATATTGATACATCTCCACCTTTACTTATTTCAAGAACATAACTTGAAACTCCTAGGCAGCATTGATGAACTCAGAGGCATTTAGCACATCAAGTGGACTCCTTGAGCAACCCCTCACCCACAGTGAGTTCTGATGCTGCTCACACCCTGTTTCAGAAATCATGAACAAAGACATTGCTTTCAAACTCCCGGGAAGAAGCCTGTGGCTCTGGTAAATTGCTTTTTAGTCTACCAGAACTCTGAATTGCTGCTTCTACTCAGTTCTGACCGGCTGAACCGTATTTCTCCATTTCAAAAAAAGAAAAGGAGAAAGGAGCAAAAATGAGAGAGGACTAAGAAGACAAACCCCTAACAAGGAGCAGTTGGAAATGAATATAAATGAGGAGGGTACTCACACTCCTGCTGGCTCCTGGTGGCAGAAGGCACTGGCTGATAAAACCTTGCTGAGCCCTATTAAAAGGGAGGGTGCATAGGAGGAGATAGTGCTAGGAGGGAGGCACCGAACTCAGAACCCCACTCTGCATATTTGCACTGGCTTTCTCCTCCCACCCCAGACCCCAGTGCCAAAGCAGGCGAGGAACTGGTCCCCAGCCTGCGCCTCACGTCTGTCTGTCTGTCTCTCTTCCCCTCCCTCCCTTCCCCTCTTTCTCTCTCTCTCCCTTTCTCCCTCCCTCTCTGTTCTCGAGAGGGTGCCAACAGCTTTGCCTCCTCTGCACGCTGCTGTCCTGAAGTATTACCCAGCAATCATCACACAAGGTCATCCTTTTCCTCTCCGTGGGGTTTCTTTTAGCTCCTACACTCTCCCTGCAATATTTTGGGGAAGACTTGTAACTGGAAAAAGTCAACACAGTGTCACTTAAAACTAAAAGCCAAGGGGTAAATTGCTTCACAGTGGCCTCTGGTGCCTAGCGACGGGGCGGGGTTTTCTCTTAGCCTTGACACACAGCCTCTGCACCGGCGTGAGAATCCAGCCAGGAGCTGCAGGACGTGGTGGAGGGTGCGGAGGACAGGGGCACACCGGCTGCTTTCTGGAAACTAACCTGCCCTTTCCCCACAGTGAGGAGGATACAAAATATAAATGTTTCCCTGGAATGTTCTTTCCAGGTGAGAATCTCAGGACAAACTCTGCCCATCCTTTAAAAGTCAGGAGGCAAACATTCCATAAAGGAATAGAAAATTCGAGTGAAGGATCTATTTCTAACCCTTTGTTCTTGAATTTCTATTTTGTGCTTTGTTCTTTGATGGAAGAAATCTAACTAACTCAGGTGCACTTCTAGGAGAACATAATTAAAAAAACAAAAAAAGAAAGAAAGAAAGACAACCAAGCACAGCCTTCCGAAAGCTGGGCAGATTGTCACGGCCTCTCAGATGGGCCTCCTGCCCGCCTGGCTGAGCTGATAGCCCTTGTCCATGGTCAGCAAGGCATGGTGACTCTCTGGCTCCCCCCACTGGACACCCGCCAAACCACAGGGCTCCTTGTCCTCTTGGCGACCCCTTCCTTCTGGGTCCCCCTGCAGCTCAGGGTGTGTGTGTGTCTGGGGCCTGGGAGAGAGACCGACCATATTTCCATGTGCATGATTACAGTATTCAAGTTCAGGCAAATCTCCCTCCAGTACTTTTTTTCCTGGTAAAATAAGGAGAAAATAAACTCCTAGGGTTAACTTGAAGGAGAAATAAGAATCACAACAGAATAGACTGAGCGCCTGGTATGGGAATCAAAGGAATCACACTCGTGTCTCCATGAGTTCTTTGTGCCAATGGGATATAATCCCCCTCAGTAATAATAATGATAAGAATTACACAAACAGCTGAGCATTCACTCTATGTGCTGGGCACTATGCTAAGCACTTCATACACTTGAGTCATTTAACCATCACGAAAATCCTATGAGGTGTGAAAATAAGAAAAAAACAAGTGAGTTCTGCCTTTCCCTAAATCCAGCTGTCTCGGAAAACACTATGGATGCTGTCAGGCTAACTGAGGCCCAAACGAAATGGAACTGGACAGTCACATATTGGCCAGAGGCTACCCACGTATTCTGTGTCCTTGGAGGAGTCACAAAATGAAGTCTATTATCCGAAGCGGTGCCAGTCCCTGAAGTGGTCCTGCCACGGCTGCCGAGCTGGGAAATCAACCAATCAGCTTCAGCTTGCATCGGCCAATCAGGACTACACAGGCTTGCGTCCCTCATTTAAATAACGGACCTGTGTGGGGATCTGAACAGAAACTTTTGCTCTAATAACAACCCCTTCTCCTTGTTTCCTTGTGGTGTGTTTTTGGTTCATAGCCAAGAGCTGTGCCTCCCTGTTTGCAAACATTTTTTTAGCAGTAAGTTCTCAATTTCCCTGTTGTACGGAGAGATTTGTTAACAGAGGTAAATACCATTATCCCTATTTTCCAGATGAGGAAGGTAAGGCTCACAAAATTTAGATAACTTGTCCCATGTCTAATACCAAAGCTGGTTCTTTGATGTGCTTGAGCACCATCCAATGTTTCCAACTTATGCCCATTGTTTGCCTTTCATTAATTCACTGATTAACTTAGGGAGCTCAACTGTCAACATGTATTTATAGACTTCATCCTGAACACACCTCCACACAGCACCCAGGCAGCCGCCTGCCTCAGTGGGTGGGCCTGGTCAGGGGCTGAGGGGATGGATTGAGTCTCTCGACTTCCTGGCAGACC